GAACATTATGACTGTCTCAGAAATGAGAGCGACGCTTTCAAGCATAATTCTGACTGCGAAACAAAATCAGGTTAGTAACGAATATCTGATCTTTTCCTCCATATATCTCTGCGAATCAGATCTAATTTCAGTCCTTATTCAGAAAGCGGGAGGGAGGGAAGGAGGGAAGGAGGGCGGGGGCCAGAGGGAACTTTATTTGAGCCCAATACAGAAAGAAGTAATACACCACATATAATATTCATTGTCAAAAAAAAAAAAAGGTTTGACACTTTGTATTACAGTATATATAATATAGCCTATGCATTATATAATACCATACAGTGCATTTATCTTTTGGCTGTAAAAGCGAGTCAGGCTCATAAAAGTCACTGTTACAGTGTGCAGAGAGTCTGGAAATAGATATATGCGGAAGTCATTTGTCTGTGAGATCTGAACTGATATTCTCTGTACTGTACCCTTATCAAATGAAGCACAAACACTCACTGCAGTGCATTAGTATCTAATGACAGAAGACATTTTTAATAAAAGAGGACGCTTACGCTATTTTCCTCAGCAATTCATTTGAAAGGTCCTACTATGTTTTTTCATTTTCAGCTTCCTTCAGCTTTCTAGGAGATATTTTCCATATTAGAAAGTGCTGTTTCTGAACTCCCTCGAACGACTCAACTGTAGTCCTGCGTCTTCTTCCGTGATTTTTTATTTTTATATATATATATATATTTTTTTGTCTATGCCACATTCTGACAACGTGTAAAATGTAATCAAATCATATGTGTTCAGACGAGTTTTCAACAAACAATGCCTGATGTGTTTATGTTTTACATGGCAGAATAAAGCACAGAATAAATCTGCGCGTTCCAACTTCTATGTTTCTGGTCCAGTGAAAGCTTGTGGTATCACTTATGGAGATTGTGTTTCTGTAGGATGGTAAAAATGGGTAGACGTAATCCAGTCTAGTTACTGAATTTGATTAGTTCCAGAAGTGAAAATGGACACTAGAGTACTGTAAGTAAAATAAATGTTGCAAAAGACTAACAAAAACAAAAATGTCTAAAGCCTACTTTTAATTTAAATGCACTCCCGGTTCAACCCTGTTATGCTGTGACTTTTCATCTCATTTAAAAATAATCTATTTTTCAGACACAGTATGAGAGTATTTGCTTATGAATTTTCCTTTTTTTTCAGATTCAAAACAATTTTCAGTTCATAACCAAGGCCACTATAAGACATTTTTGCAATCTCAAAACACCCAAAACTTTTTTTTTTTGGTGATGTAAACCTTTAAGTCAGACATTTGTGGATATCATGATAAAATATCAAAACAAGTGACAGGTTTTTCTTAGAACAAACTTCACTTTTTCACATAATTTTCCCAATGAATCAGCCGGTGTAAAGATTTTTTTAAATAATTTTTATTTACATAGTGCTTTACACAATGTAAATTGTTTCAAAGCAACATTAAAGAAAAAATATTGCAGTATTAATATCTGAAACTTTGTACAGTATGCGGAAACATTAAGATTTCCCTTCACTGGAAGTAAAGTAACCCAACCACTAAAAAAACAGCCCAACTCCTCCACCAAACTTTACAGATACAATGGCACAATGGTAACATGTACCACGAATGTTTGTTAAGAATTACAGTCTTTCTCAAAATCTAGTACACAGATTTTCACACATTCAGCACAACATCAGTGTAGACTAAAGTGTGGATCACTCTATAATTGCTTTGACACAGAATGCATTGAAGGACCACATTCTGCAATAAATAAATTAAACGATAACTCAAACTCAAATGCTAACAAAACTATGTATCTGTGGCCCATTTTGCACACATTTACATGTTTTCAAAACCGTTTAACTAAAAGTATAGCATTAAAGTAAAGTGAGTTAGACAGGGGTGTGTTTCATTTGGACAGTCATTACTTACAGGATATTTGGGGGATTTTTTTTATTAGAAAGTGTATTCATTACACATAATTCACAACAATTTGAGAACATTGCCTACCAATGTGCTATGTGCCTAATACAAACCCGATATATATATATATCTGAGTCCTTAGCCATCTTCAAGAAACGACTAAAAACACATCTCTTCCATCTTCATTTGACCTTCTAACTCTATCACTCTCTATTCTAATTCTAAGACAAAAAGAAAGTAAAAAAAACACTTAACCCTCTAACACTTGCATTCTCTATTCTATTTGTATTCTTACTACTTGTCTTCTTTAAAGAAAATCTCTATTCTTTTGACTTGTTTTATTTTTATTTAAAAAAAGACCCTCTAACACTACCGTTCCCCATTCTTTTTCTATTCTATCTACTTGTTTTTCTTTTTATTATTAAAAAAAAATTGTTGTTATGTGTACTGCCTTAGGCTAACCGAGACTTGTCACAGCATATTATTATTATAATACATATTATCAGTGTTGGGGAAAGTTACTTTTAAAAGTAATGCATTACAATATTGCGTTACTCCCTAAAAAGTAACTAATTACGTTACTTAGTTACTTTTTATGGAAAGTAATGCGTTATATTACTTTTGCGTTACTTTCGCGTTACTTTTTAAATATAAGCAGGGCTTGATTGTTTTTAATATAAGAAGTTCTGTTTATAGCAAATATAAAAGCCCTTTCACACCAAAAAGTGTAATGAATAAACCTCAGGCTGAAGCAAAAAGTAAATAGTACAGTAGAACGCAGGAGAAGAAACACTCTTCAGCAGTAAAAAAAACAAAGCACAATTGTTAGTTTCTCTAAAGTAATTTTTGCTTGGTTTTCAAAAAACACAATGGACCAACACCAGCAGATGACATTGCACCTCAAATCATCACAGACTGTGGAAACTTAACACTGGACTTCAAGCAACTTGGGCTATGAGCTTCTCCACCCTTCCTCCAGACTCTAGGACCTTGGTTTCCAAATGAAATACAAAACTTGCTCTCATCTGAAAAGAGGACTTTGGACCATTGGGCAACAGTCCAGTTCTTCTTCTCCTTAGCCCAGGTAAGACGCCTCTGACGTTGTTTGTGGTTCAGGAGTGGCTTAACAAGAGGAATACGACAACTGTAGCCAAATTCCTTGACACGTCTGTGTGTGGTGGCTCTTGATGCCTTGACCCCAGCCTCAGTCCATTCCTTGTGAAGTTCACTCAAATTCTTGAATCGATTTTGCTTGACAATCCTCATAATGCTGCGGTTCTCTCGGTTGGTTGTGCGTCTTTTTCTTCCACACTTTTTCCTTCCACTCAACTTTCTGTTAACATGCTTGGATACAGCACTCTGTGAACAGCCAGCTTCTTTGGCAATGAATGTTTGTGGCTTACCCTCCTTGTGAAGGGTGTCAATGATTGTCTTCTGGACAACTGTCAGATCAGCAGTCTTCCCCATGATTGTGTAGCCTAGTGAACCAAACTGAGAGACCATTTTGAAGGCTCAGGAAACCTTTGCAGGTGTTTTGAGTTGATTAGCTGATTGGCATGTCACCATATTCTAATTTGTTGAGATAGTGAATTGGTGGGTTTTTGTTAAATGTGAGCCAAAATCATCACAATTAAAAGAACCAAAGACTTAAACTACTTCAGTCTGTGTGCTTTGAATTTATTTAATACACGAGTTTCACAATTTGAGTTGAATTACTGAAATAAATGAACTTTTCCACGACATTCTAATTTATTGAGATGCACCTGTACTTACAGCCGGGTGGCTTTTCACTTGTTTCAATACGGTACTCAGCATGTCAAACTCCCAAAATATATCTATACAGCAGAATTAATGAGATCTGATGGTGTTTGTAACGCTCTGATGTGTGCATCTGAAGCGGAGTGTGAAGGGATGCCTGATATTGCCTTAGATTAGCACTTAATAATTTTTCTTTTGATAATCTTGACAGTCAAAATCACAGTATGCTATTTCTCATAATATCACCCACTTGGAATTTATTAAGACAGAACACACATTCACCCACTATTGTTGCTCAATTCTACTTTATCGGTGCCAAAATGCATTGGAAACATGCAAGAATTTAAGTGATCTATAGAAAGAAAAGAGTAAATAATGTATCATCAATGCACATGTCGTTTCCGCATGCACTTTCCAATGGGAAGGCAAGTTTAAACTCATCTGAATATTAAAGCATTTCAACCAAAGTAAAAAAAAGAAACCATCATGTGTGCAATGAGCGTATTGAAAAAGAAATACTTTTAAGTCAGATAATGTCACCATTTACATTCTATAGTTTATCTTTAGCAAAAATATATGTGCAAACAGTACAGAGCTCCTAACTAATCATACATTCACGTACAGATTCATCTAAACAAATACAAATATAGCATGTTCAAGGTAAATGTAAACATTCATTAGCCACAAAAAACACTCTACTTTTGAAAAAATATAAAGGGTGAATTTAAATGTACCATTAAGAGCATGACTGTAACATTCGATTTAAATAAGAATATAAATATACCTACTGATGTGGTCTATGACTGTAATAATCCACCCACATACTTTCTTCAATAAACTTTTCAATAATCAAAACTAAATAAAACTAAAGTAAAAATATTTTTAAAAAAATGCATTTGCCAATTTATTTTTTAATTGTAACACTGAAGTGGGTGGTAAAATGCTAATTTAAAATACAAGCATTGCCTTAATAGTACTATGGCCTATTCAACATTCATTATCTACAAGAACAGCCTTCTCTTTATAAAACTGCCCAAATTATTAATCCATAAATCTATCAAGTCCGCCATTCCAACAGGATATTTTCACCACTCTCACTGACTCACAAAGAAATGTGGTATTCTCTTATTACAATTACTTTTTAAATTAGAAAATATGCTTTTACTTTTTCCACCATTTAACAATGAAAAAATGTCATTTTTAAAAGTAAGGTCACATAGGCAAATGCAATATTAAAAAGTACTGAGTGTTTTTAAAGACAGTCACTTTCTGTCTCTCTCACGCAGAGTAACAGACGCCAAATTCACAGTTTTTTCTTTTGTTATTAACTCCTCACTGTCCCACCCAACAGGACCCTGGAGAAACTGAGAGGCTGCAGATCAGGAAGTCCACTGGAGGTAGGAGGGGCCTCGGGAGATTGACAGGGCAGAAGGCTGAGCCTGTGTGTGTGGAGAAGTTCACTTTGTTTGGGTCGGGGCAGGAGAACATGTACACTTGGTCCAAACATGGAAGGCTGAATTTGAGGATGGGGTGGGAAAAAAAATGCACAAGATGCACAATAGTCAAGACTGCATTAACCACTCAGAACACCAACAGCAACCACAGAGCAACACCCTAGCATTGTATGCCTACTTACACGTTTTCTTCACACACTCGGACTCTCTCACAACCCTCTGGTGGATCTCTCTGAAAGCAGTAGCTGTTATTGGGCCGTGGTGATGAGGACAGCTTTAGGATACATGAGCTGACCTCCTCAACTGAGGACAGAGCAGTATCAGTCAGTTCAAATTAAACAAAGAGTTGAGTGGTCAAAATATACTTGAAATCTCACTTGTTATTATCCATTAATTAAAAATGGGGACAATACATTTTTGTATGTTTTTTAGCAAACAGATAAAAATAGTATTCTAACAAAATTATTTAAAAAACACACATTACAAAATGAGATGTCCACAAACTGTGAATATACACTACACAATAATTACACTTTTTTAAAAAACTTTAAATATCTTTAAAAATTTTATGTTTGTGCTATTTAAAATGGATCGTTACTATCCCTAATTAGGATTATTATTTTGCAGTTTAAAGCGGACATAACACACACACAGTTTCTGCCAGTCTCATGTTAAAGGGGTCATATGATGCTGCTAAAAAGAACATTATTTTGTGTATTTGGTGTAATAAAATGTGTTTATGCATTTAAGGTTAAAAAAACATTATTTTCCACATACTGTACATTATTGTTTCTCCTTTGTTTCTCCTCTATGCCCCGCCTTTCTGAAACACGTCGATTTTTACAAAGCTCATC